ATAGAAAGAAATTAATGGGACAACTAAAAATACATAGAAAAAATTAGCCGGGCATGGTGGCGCATGCCTGTAGTCCCAGCTACTCGGGAGGCAGAAGGATCGCTTGAGCCCAGGAGTTTGAGGTTGCTGTGAGCTAGGATGACACCGTGGCACTCACTCTAGCCCGGGCAACACAGTGAGACTCTATCTCAAAAAAAAAAAAAAAAAAAGACATTGTATTCCTTTTTATGGCTGAGTAGTACTCCATGGTATATATACATCACATTTTCTTAATCCACTCATGAACTGATGGGCACTTAGGTTAATTCCGTATCTTTGCAATTGTGAATTTTGCTGCAATCAACGTTCAAGTGCAGGTGTCTTTTTTGATAAAATGACTTCTTTCATTTGCATAGATACCCAGGAATGGTATTGCTGAATCAAATGATAAATCTACATTTATTTCCTGTTTTCCATAGAGGTTGTACTAATTTGCAGTCCCACCAACAGTATATGTGTTCCATTCTCTCTGCATCCATGTCAGCATCTGTTGTTTGTTGACTTTTTAATAATGACCATTCTGACAAGGGTGAGGTGGTATCTCTTTGTTTTTGTTTTGTTTTGCTTTGAGGCACAGTCTCACTCTTTTGCCCAGAGTAGAGTGCAGTGGAATCATCATAGCTCACTGCAACCCCAAATGCCTGGGCTCAAGTAATCCTCCTACCTCAGCCTCCCGAGTAGCTGGGACTACAGGCATGTGCAACCATCCCCAGCTAATTGATTGTGGTTTTAATTTGCATTTCCCTGATGATTAGTGATGTTGAATGTTTTTCATATGTTCATTGGCCATTTGCCTATTTTCTTTTGAAAAACTTCTGTTTGTGTCTTTTGTCTACCTTTTAATGGGGTTGTTTGTTTTTTGCTTGCTGATTTGTTTGAGTTCTTTGTAGATTCTGGATATTACCCCTCTATCGAATGTATAGTTTGTGGATATTTTCTCCCATTCTGTGGGTTGTATCTTTTTTATAATGATTCTAACTAAATCCAGGGGATATGTTTTATCTAAAAATTCCTTGACAGTACAGGTCAATACAACTCTCTATATACAACCTAATTCTGTCCCTCTTATGATCTCATCCTTTGTTTATTATACAAATATCTTCCAAATTTTTCCCAGAGCTTTCCCAAAGTAGAGCTAGTAATAGAACACACGTGTGTTCCTGCCCCAGATTACTATTTACCTCATTTAGTCTTTCATATCATGCTATCACTAACATGAAGAGGGGACCCACAGCCAAGGCAACCAGCCAGTGCTATATGCACAGCTGAATATCAACCGGACTTTCTGCTCCATTTAGTCAAATTGTGTTCTTGGCTCAACTCATACTTGTAGTTACCAGAATATAAATAGTGGGGATTATATTATATAAATTAAGCATTATATCCTTCTCCTCATCTTTTTTTTTTTTCTTTTTTTTGAGACAGAGTCTCACTGTGTTGCCTGGGCTAGAGTGCCATGGTGTCAGCCTAGCTCACAGCAACCTCAAACTCCTGGGCTCAAGTGATCCTTCTGCCTCAGCCTCCCGAGTAGCTGGGACTACAGGCATGCGCCACCATGCCCGGCTAATTTTTTCTATATATTTTTAGTTGTCCAATTAATTTCTTTCTAATTTTTAGTAGAGATGGGGTCTCGCTCTTGCTCAGGCTGGTTTCGAACTCCTGAGCTCAAACAATCCGCCTGCCTCAGCCTCCCAGAGAGCTAGGATTACAGGTGTGAGCCACCGCGCCCGGCCCCTTCTCCTCATCTTGATGGTCTAACTTCAGTTTGTAAAACATTGCATTTTTACCTGAAATGCCTGTGGCCTAAAATTTTATGACTCCAAACAATTCTCCTTCAACTTGGCTAAGGGCACTGCCACTGTGATGAATTATCTCTAAACATTACTCCCATTGTGGCATCCCTCATTGTTAATTCAAATTCCTGGAAGAGAACTTTGACTGATAGAATTCAGATTATAAGCTGCCCCAACCAGGGCTCACCTATATCCTGAGGTAGGAAGCAAAACAATCTGTGCCTGTCAGCTTCTGTCATGAAAGGTGGGGACTTGGAACTACCCTCCCACTCTGATGATACCCAAAAGTAATCAAGGTTCTATTGAGAATGGTAATAGACTCTGGACAGACCAAAAAACAAGGCAAATATCCACAAACACTGCTCTCAGGAAGAGGTGATGCTGGAATTCTCATTTAATTAAAAGTATACTTCTAGCTACAGACCTTGATGACAATTTCATCTCCTAGAAGAAATGAAGAATACAGCCATGCATTGCTTAGCAATGGTGATGTGTTCTAAGAAATGCTTTGTTAGGCAATTTTGTCATTGTGCAAACATAATAGAGTATACTTACACAAACCTAGACAGTACCGCTTATTGCTCCTAGGCTACAAATGTGTACAGCATGTTCCTATACTGAATAATGTAAGGAAATACTAACACAGTCGTAAGTATTTATGCAATAGGAATTTTTCGACTCCATTGTAACCTTATGGGACCACCATAATATATGTGATCTGTCATTGACTGGGAAATCATTATGCAGTGCATGACTGCTATTTATAATTGGAATGGAAGTAACAGTAAGTGGGATGTGTCCATATCCTCACATTTCATGATATCCAGGGAAGCAAAGACAAGTGTAATCAGAATTGTACTTCAGATCTGAATAAAACAGTTTTGAAAAATTTGAGAGAAAACTCTTTGGGTGGTATGGTCAATAGAAAGGCCCCCACAGAAGCTAGAGAATGGTTGCCTAGCATACCAAATGGCCTGACCAAATGAGGAATGGATCAGAAATAACACTCTCATAAGCCTATAGTCTCAGCTACTAGAGAGGCTGAGGCAGGAGGACTGCTTGAGCCCAGGAGGTCATGGCTGCAGTGAGCTATGATCACTTCACCGCCTGGGCAACAGAGTGAGACCCTGACTCAAAAAAAAAGAAAAGAAAATGAAAATGAAAAGAAATAGAACTCTCAGTATGTTTTTGATTCAGGTGGACAAAGCTAACCCAAGAAACCTATTATCAGGTCATTCAACTTAGGTACAGAGAAAGATGTTGCAGGTACAGACAGTGCAGCTGGATCTCAAATATTAAAAAAAAAAAAAAAAAAAACAACTAACTTTAACAATGTGTCATATTAAGGCTCAACATTAATTCAACAAATGTATGTTGACCACCTACTGTTTGCCAGACTAGGGATACAACAATGAGCAATAAACTTCCTTCTAGAGCTTATCATTATCACCATCTAATCATGACAATATTTTTTTTTCCATGGTGTTAAAGAGTCTCTTCTGTACCTTTGAAACTGTACAAGAGATGATTGGTCCTAAGGTTCTATTGACTGGGAAGTTATTCATGGAAGAGATACACTTCAAGATAGAAAAAAGAAAAATAACATTTTCTTAGTCTGTTTTGTGCTGCTATAATAGAATACTTGAGACTCAGTAATTTATAATGAACAGAAATTTATTAGCTCATGATTCTGGAGTCTGGGAAGTTCCACATCAAGGCGCTGGCATCTGGTGAGGGCCTTCTTGCTGCGTCACCTCATCTTGCCGAAAGACAAGAAAGGGTGAGGGCAAGGGTAAAGGCCAGCAAAGAGACTGAACTCATCCTTTTATAAGGAACCCACACGATTAATCCATTCATGAGGATGGTGCCCCTATGACTAAAAAGCTAATGGGACCCATTTTGTCCCACCTCCCAACGCCTTCACATTGGAGGTCAAATTTCCAACACATGAACTTTGGGGGACACATTCAAACCATAGCAAATATGAAGGATGTTGATAGATGAAAGCTCAGGCACATCCAACGTAATTGCCTCACAAGGCTTCTTGTTTCCTTCAAAGGAGGAGCTTCCAGTGAGCAGGAGTGGTAGAGGGGGTGTCCTTTAAGTAGAGTTTGAAAGCATATATGGGCCTTAAAGAATCCAGAAGCAATGCTACGTAATAGTAGGATCAGATATCTGCCAGTTTTAACAATATTTTATTTCATTTTCTTAGTTTTAATAAAGTGACTTTAAAAAATATATAGGGTTGTTTCATCTGGGCATTTTAAAAGGGGAGCAGGAGATAGTTTGTATTTTGAGACCCACAGAGAGACAGTAGTAGTATGGGCGTAAATAAAAGTCCTAGGGGAAGATAAAAACCCAAGGATACGCCATCTTGACTGTTGTGTCCATACCTTGTGATCAAAATAGTTTCTGTCCCCAATTAAGCATTTTGGAGGATTTTGTGCTTTGTTGATTTAGGAAAATAATATACTTACATACCCTTGGCATCCTATTTGTTTATAAACACATTCGCTTTCACTAAGTTTCACTTTTTTTTTTTTTTTTTGAGACAGAGTCTCACTCTGTTGCTCCAGCTAGAGTGCCATGGCATCAGCCTAGCTCACAGCAACCTCAAACTCCTGATCTCAAGCGATCCTCCTGCCTCAGCCTCCCGAGTAACTGGGACTACAGGCACACGCCATCATACCCAGCTAATTTTTTTTCTATATATTTTTAGTTGTCCAGCTAATTTCTTTCCATTTTTTTTTAGTAGAGATGGGGTCTCACTCAGGCTGGTCTCGAACTCCTGGGCTCAAATAATCCGCCCACCTTGGCCTCCCAGAGTGCTAGGGTTACAGGTGTGAGCCACCATGCCTGGCCTAAGTTTCACTTTTTACAATACTTTTACCCAATATATCCTCTAAAAATGCTATAGAGCACTGCAATGATAGAATAGAAGGAAATAGCCATTACCTTTAAATAATTTTTCAAGACAAATATATGAGAATATAATTTTGTTTATTAAAGTCAGAAAATGACCTTAAGCTTTTTGTCTTTGTTTCTTGTTCAGAACTATAGACATTGTTTTTCTTATGCTGTTGGAAAACCAGGAGACTTAACACAACCATATGAGATTATCAACAGTTCTAATAATAACCATATATTTTGGCCCCTCGGCCATTCTGGAATGTACGTGTTTCGTGTGAAGATCCTAGATCCAAACTATAGGTGAGTGTAAATGTTTTATTATAGTAGTTTTAGCATTAGTTCCTCAAAATTAAATTTTTATTTTTTAAATTTAATTTGATGCCACCTAGATGTCCAATTCTTGTTAGTCTTGTTATTTACATATTTGCTTTTTCAATTTGTAGCGATCACACTAAACATTCTATGGGGGCAGGAGATTTTATGTTAAATCCTAATTAAATTAACCAATTTGCAGTTACATTCCGAATACTTTACTATGTTCGATTGCCACGATAGATCCAAATATAAACATAATCTCAGCCTTCAGGGTACTTATAATTAAGCTGCTTGGAAAAGGAGGATTGACGGGGGACACATCCAAAACAACAAAGGTTAAGTCAGAGCAAATACATGAGATATTTTTCAAATATAATCATTAGTATTATTGATAAGGGGAAAACGGAAAATTAGTTCAAATATATGACAGCAAGGTAGAAGATAGGTACAGATATTATATTCTGAATATCTATATGTGGTCATGAGGCTATAATTGATATTTTTTACTTTCTCCATTTCCCAACCTATATTCCCTATGTCTTTAGCCAGCACGTCAGGTTTGTTTCCTGGCAGAATAACCTTAATTTTCATTCCTAAGGAATCTGAGCTCTTAGCAATCCCTATCTGTACATGCCTGAGTTTTTAAGTGAAATTCCACTCTCAGATCTATCACTTTGATTCTCAAACTCATGTATTCTGGCTGCGGGAGAAACACCAGCAACTAAGTTTATGACTCAGAGTATCTACCTCATTCTAAGGAGAATTCTCCAACCTCACAGGCGACCTTTTCTGCTAGCTTTATAGCTTTTATTGCTGTATAATTTATCATCCAAACCAGAACACTTCTGAGAGTAAAATGAAACTTTATTAATATTTACATCAGAAGAACAGGTGTGTACCAAAAGTGTGCTAGGTAACCAGTGATTATGATTACCCTAATAATAAATAGAATCCTTGAAAATCCATGCTTCTATTCTGTGAAACCAATGAACTCCATGAACAGCCCTGTGCCTTCTTTTGCTATAATATTGAGTTATTTGTTTAGAAGCAATATTGTATGGAATAACATGACAATGTATATGACATTTAATGTGCCCATGTATGGTGTTGGCAGGCAAAAGCTATATGGAAAAGGCAAATTCAAATCCCAAACATATCACAGGAAGAATAAATCACTGTCCCTTCCATGATACAGTCAATCTGGCACCCAGTAGCTATCTGATAACACTGGATTAATCTACCTATGGAAGGTTTACAGTCGGTTGCTGCTGCTGGCAAATACAGGCATACCTCGGAGATATTGCAGGTTCAATTCCAGACCACCACAATAAAGTGAATATCGCAATAAAACAAGTCACACAAATATTTTGGTTTCCCAGTGCATATAAACATTATGTATGTATTATACCATAGACTATTAAGTGTGCCAAGCATTATGTCTAAAAAAACAGGCCGGGCGTGGTGGCTCATGCCTGTAATCCTAACACTCTGGGAGGCTGAAGCAAGAGGATCACTTGAGCTCAGGAGTTTGAGACCAGCCTGAGCAAGAGTGAGACGCCATCTCTACCAAAAATAGAAAAATTAGCCAGGCATGGTGGTGCATGCCTGTAGTCCCAGCAACTCCGGAGGCTGAGGCAGGAGGATCACTTGAGCCCAGGAGTTTGAGGTTGCTGTGAACTAGGCTGATGCCATGGCACTCTAGCCCAGGTAACAGAGCATGACTCTGTTTCAAAAAATACAAAATAAAAAAATATACATTCCTAATTAAAAAATGCTTTATTGCTAAAAAATGCTAACAATCATATGAGCCTTTGGTGAGTCATAATCTTTTTGCTGGTAGAGAATCTTGCCTTGATGTTGGTGGCTGCTGACTGATCAGGGTGGTGGCTGCTGAAGGCTGGGGTGGCTGTGGCAATTTCTTAAAATTAAGACAATCGATGAAGTTTGCTGTATCGATGGACTCTTCATTTCACGAAAGATTTCTCTGTAGCATGCAATGCTGTTTGATAGCACTTTACCCACAGTAGAACTTTCAAAATTGAAGTCAGTCCTCTCAAAGCCTGCTGCTGCTTTATCAACTGAGTTTATGCAATATTCTAAATCCTTTGTTATTTCAAAGATATTCACAGCAACTTCACTAGGAGTAGATTCCATCTCCAGAAACCGCTTTCTTTTGCTCATCCATAAGAAGCAACTCCTCAACTGTTCAAGTTTTGTCATGAGATTGCAGCAATTCAGTCACATCTTCAGGCTCCACTTCTAATTCTACTTCTCTTGCTATTTCTACTGCATCTGTAGTTACTTCCTCCACTGACGTCCTGAACTCCTAAAAGTCATCCATGAGGGTTGGAATCAATTTCTTCCAAACTCCTGTCAATGTTCATATTTTGACCTCCTCCCATGAATCACAAATGTTTTTAATGACATTTAGAATGGTGAATACTTTCCAGAAGATTTCCAATTGACTTTGTCCAGATCCATCAAGGAATAGAATGTATCTATGGCAGCCATAGCCTAATGAAATGAATTTCTTAAATAATAAGATTTGAAAGTCAAAATTACTCCTTGATCCATGGACTGCGGAATGGATGTTGTGTTAGCTGCCACGAGAACAACATTCATGTCCTTGTACAGCTTTTGAGTGACCAGGTGCATTGTTAATGAGCAATAATATTTTGAAAGAAATCTTTTTTTCTGAATAGTAGGTCCCAAGAGTGGGTTTAAGATATTTAGTAAACTGTGTCATAAGCAGATGTGCTATCATCCAGGCTTTGTTATTCCAGTTTATAGAACACAGGCAGAGTAGATTTAGCACAATTCTTTAAGGCCCTAGGATTTTCAGAATGGTCAATGAGCATTGGCTTCAATTTAAAGTCAACAGCTGCCCTAGCCCCCAACAAGAGGGTCAGCCTGTCCCTGGAAGCTTGGGAAGCAGGCACTGACTTTTCCTCTCTAGCTATGGAAGTCTTAGATGGCATCTTCTTCAGATATATGGCTGTTTCATCTGCATTGAAAATCTGTTGCTTGTGTAGTTACCATCATCAACTATCTTAGCTAGATCTTCTGGATAGCTTGCTGCAGCTTTTACATTAGCACTTGCTGCTTCGCCTTGCAATCTTATGTTATGGAGATGGCTTCTTTCCTTAAAACTCAGGAACCAACCTTTGCTAGTGTCAAACTTCTGCAGCTTCCTCACCTCTCTCAGTCCTCATAGAATTGAAGAGACTGAGAGCCTTACTCCATATTAGGCTTTGGTTTCAGAGAATGTAGTGGCTGGTTTGATCTTCTCTAGACCGCTCAGACTTTCTCCACATCAGCAATGAGGCTGTTTCACTTTCTTATCATTCATGTGTTCACTGGAGTAGCACTTTTCATTTCCTACAAGAACTTCTCCTTTGCATTCTTGTTTGGTACAGGAGGCCTAGCGTTTAGCCTATCTCAGCTTTTGACATGCTCTCCTCACTAAGCTTAATCATTTCTAGCATTCGAAATGAAGTGAGAGACATGCAACTTTTCCTTTCACCTGAATGCTTACAGGCCATTGCAGGGTTATTAATTAGCCTAATTTCAATATTGTTGTGTCTCAGGGGATAGGGAGGCCTGAGAAGAGGAAGAGAGATGAGAGAATGGGGTCAGTGGAGCAGTCAGAACACACACATTTATGAATTAAGTTTCTATCTTACGTGGGTATAGTTCATGATGCCCCAAAACAATGATAATAGCATAGTAACATCAAAGATCACTGATCACAGAACACCATAATGGATATAATAATAATGAAAAAGTTTGAAATATAGTAAGAATTACCAAAATGTGACACAGAGACACAAAGTGAGCATGTGCTGTTGGAAAAATGGCACCAATAGGCTTGCTCAACACAGGGTTGCCACAAAGCTTCAGTGTGTAAAAAAACACAGTATCTGCAAAGCACAATAAAGCGAAGCACAATAAAACAGGTATGCCTGCATAGAGTTTCCCCCTTATCCACAGTTTCACTTTCCATGGTTTCCATTATCCACAGTCAACTGAGGTCCAAAAATGTTAAATGGAAAATTCCAGAAATAAACAACCCATAAGTTTTAAAATGCACACCATTCTGAGTAGTGTGATGAAATTTCACACCATCATACTCATCCTGCTTGGGATGTGAATTATCCCTTTGTCTAGCATATCAATGCTGTATACGCTACCCACTCGTTAGTCACTTAGTAGCCATCTTGGTTATCAGTTGTCATGGATCATAGTACTTGTGTTCAATAACCCTTATTTTACTGCATAATGGCCCCAAAGCCCAAGAGTAGTGATGCTGTCATATTGTTACAATTATTCTATTTTATTGTTAGTTAATGTTGTTAATCTCTTACTGTACCTGATTTATAAATTAAACTTTATCACAGGTATGTATGTATACAAAAAAACATGCATAGGGTTCAGTACTATCTGTGGTTTCAGGCATCCACTGGGGGTCTTGGAACGTGTCCCCCAGGGACCGGGAGGAGGACTACTGTATGGTACTTTGTAGTGGTGTTATCCAGGTCAGCCTTGGTGAGGGGAAAGCCCTGCGGATAAAGCTATCCCTGTCTCCATGGCCACATTGTTTATGAGCCCAGAAACAATGAGCAAGCATTTCAGTAGCTGGAGAAAGAGGCTAACCATATGGTGGTCAGGTGATAAAGTAAGAGCCTCCTCTCTAGTAAAGGTCTTTTGATAAACATTCATGAGACCCAAATATTCTAATAATCTAGTCTCATTCCAAGAAGTTCATCTACATACATTTTCCCTAAAATTTCTTCACACCAGCTGTTGTTTTTTTCCAAGTCTTGGCCATGCAGCCAGACATCTAGCCCCTGCCCATGATTATGCCTCAGGCCATCTTTCCTGTTAGGAAAAGTGGGAAAATAGATACTATTAATATTTACAGTTTTTTACCCTAGGAGGCTCTTCCTTCTCCATTGTTCCTCAGGACTGCACCTGAATGGAGCTCCAGCGGCACAGCTGTCCACATCTGGATCCAGAGCACTCTGTAAACCTTTCTCATATCTTTTTCTTTACAGCTATTATATAAATGTATCCATTCTGTCCCTTGTCAAGAAAATGACACTTTAACTAAGATTATATATGATTTTATTGTTACTATGGAGATGTGGAGGGAGTTTTAAAATACATGGTACTTAATTTAATCTTTGACATTATTTTTCTAATTTGCAGTTTCTGTAACCTAACAGCTGTATTTGCAATAGAGACCTTTGGAGCGATTCCCAGGTAATGAGCAGTACCCATCCAGCTTTAACGAGAGAATTTCTAAAAGACACTAGTGGCAGCTAAAAACAGAGCCTATGCGATCACTCTTCAGGGTCCTCCAGCCTAAATCGTATCATAAAAATATTATTATATGGTATATAATGGAAATGAATGCTCAAAACAAAACAAAAAACTTGTATAAAATGTTCATTGCAAAATCAATGGTTTTTATAGGTCTATGTTTAGATTTTTTTTTTTTACTATCTATGAAATATGTCTTCCCAAATGACAGAAATTTGCTATTTTGCTTCTGCCCTAATATAGACATCCTAAAAGTTGTATGTATATATTATACCAGGGAAACAGCAAGAAGGAATTCCTGAGAACCATTATAGCAGCAAGAGTCCCCTTTTGTTCCATCCCACTCAAAGCCACTGTCTTCCTATCAAACACGTCTTTCAACTCCTCCTATAGAAGGCAGCAGTGGGGATTGGGAGGTGACAGTGGCTATACCCTCCACTCTAAGCCTGAGTTCGCTCTTAACCACCAACCATCATTCTGATGCATCCAGGACACGGCTGGTGAAGGCATTTCCCTGGACTCAGAAATGCCTCAGAAAATGCTCGTGTTACTCTGTTCCCTTGGAGAACAGAGTGCAGTCTTTTATTTTTTTTTAATTGTCTTTTTTTTGTTTGTTTTTGTAAGTCTTGCCTTCTTCTGCAAGAGTGCAGTCTTAATACTGAAGTTAGCACCTTAAATGACTTTGTTTCTCTGCCCTGGGCGTGGTGTTTGGGATTTGGATTTATTTTGTAAAATGTTAAACAAAAGTGGAAGAAAAACAATTAAGTTGCTCATGGCCCTGGTATAAATATTACTGATTCCTGGGTTTTTTGTGCTAATGAAAGGTTAATGGTGTGAATAATCTGCAAATGAGATAAACCAAGAGTTGTTTCTAAGTAACTTTGGGAAATGCATATAGCCTTTTGCAGTGAATTCGCTTCCTCATTAGGTTGGTATATTTGATTTAGGTGAATGTTAAGGTACATCCACTCAAGTACCCACCAGCAGGTGAGAGAGTCAAGTGAGGTAGGGAGGAGAAAGAGCAAAGGAGGAGGATCTCACCTATCCCCCTCTCACCTGCCAGCAGCCAGGGACTGCGGGCACCGTACAGGGGATAGTCCATTGTATCAGTGATTTTAGTTTAGCCTCTGTTAACACCCGGGCCCTGAAGGCTAGCCGGTGGTGAATACCTCCTAGTAAGACAGCCCTTTTCGTGAACAGTGACTGGAGATCAGTTTGTAGGAGGCAGAGAGCTTCGTACGCCCTTGCTTCTGGCCCAGGGCCCAACTCCTCCGCCACTTTCCAAATTTTCCCATTCCGCCCTCTGGAATTGCCACCACTTAACCAGCAAACTCACCTAAATCCTCAACTGTCCTCTGAGCCCTCCCTCTGTCTCCGTAGGTAAAACAGGATCTCCCCCGAGGACACTGCCTCCCCTCCAGCCCTCTCAAGTAATGCAGTTTTCTCGCACACACCACCCATGTACCTCAGGGCTCTGGTAACACTTCCAGATCATTATTTATCCTCGTTCTTATAAAACAAAACAAAAAATCCAAACAAAACATACCCTGACCCTTTGAGGTTCATGGCCGCTGCTACGGCCCCAGCTCTCTTGTCCCGGTTGCTATGTCTTCTCCAAACTCCCCTTTGTTAATCGGCGACTTTGGCCCCATCACGCTGTTTTCCTCTGCACATCAAGCCCCACATCGGTGTCCTCATCCAACATCCAACATCATGGCCTTTCCTCGTCCTTGGTGACCTCCTCTACTGTACTTCAGCCATCCATTCCCATAGTCACACCTTGGACACTGTCATTACTTGGAACTTCTCTGCTGCCAGAAGCATCAGTTCAGACATCCCATTCCCTGAGCACGAGTTCCTGTCCTTGCAGCTTGTTAATTCCACTGTACCCACTACGACCCTTCTTCATCCTCACAGGAATCTCCACCTCTACTTTCAATCATTTTTTTTTACTTTCCTTTTCCTTACATTTCAAAATCCATTGTTTCAATAACACTTACCAGTACTCCCGTACCCCTCTGGGACTTGGTCCCCCATAGGGCAAATCCCCAACTACCTACTCTCTCTGTGACTGCACCTGAGCAGCCCAGTTCTGGCGCAGTTACCCAACAGGGCAGATTGGTCACCAGCTTTAAGCAGGCCACCAAAGTGCCTGTGAATCTTACTCTGGTCAACCAATGCTTACTTACACTCTGTAACAACTATTTAAGACTTTATCTAATTAGCTTCCTCCTCTGACCTGCTTTCCTTAACAATCATCAGACGAGCTTGTTTTCACCTTTACAGAGAAATTAGGAACTCCCTCTACTCCTGATTCCCAACATAAAAACCTACTAACATCTACACCCATCCTCGCCTCCTTCCACCCACCTTGTTACAAAAAAGGAAATGTTATTCCTCCTCTTTAAATATAATTCTTCCGCCTGTGCTTTGTACTCTATCCCTTCCCATTTTCTAAGGAAGATTTCAAATCAATTATTCCTTCTTTCTTCTGTATCTTCAGCTTTCCCTCTCAGCTAGATACCTTCAATAGGTTAATAACCTTCAGGTTTCTCCTCTGCAAGACAAAACATCTCAAAAGTCTTGTCTATACTCACAGTCTCCATTTCCCTGTGAGCAGCCCTCCTACAATCCATCCAGTCTGGTTTCTATCTTACCACTCTACCAATTAGTTCCCATTAGAATAGCTTTGGCCTATATTGAGCTAACAAAATATTTTTCAGTCTTATCTTATTTGATCTTTCATAGCATTGACTCTTCCTTTGGCTGTTGTATCCTTCTATTGGTTTTCCTAAACTTCTATGGCCACTCTCTCTCTCTCCCTCTCTCTGGTAAGGAGGGCCTCCCCTCCTTCACCAGCCATGTCTCAAGGCTTAGGCCTGTCTTCTGAAGTTCTCACTCTGGCAAGCTCATCTACAGCCATGACTTCAATTAGCATCTATACACACATGACTCTCAAATCATATCTCTAGCCCAGAGCCATACATCCCACTGTCTACTTAACCTCTTCTCTTAGACGTCTTAAGGACCAGTTAAACCGGACATGTCCAAACGTGATCTTATCACCCACTCCCCCTACCCCATCATTTGTCCCACCTTAAAACTAATCCAACAGGGTAATTTCATCTAGCCACATAGACTGTTCTTGCACAGCTCCAGGAGAATCCACTCCCACAGGCTATGATGGAAATGCTACCCTCTGGAGTTGTGACCCTGTTTTCCAATGTTTCCTTTCCCAGACTAGGACTCAAAAACAAAAACCTAAAATTCACATTCATTTCATTTCATATTCTCTCTCTGTCTCTCTGTCTGTCATCCCAATCATCACTGGCTCCTATTCATTTAATCTCTAAATAGTCCTGAATGGATCCACTTCTTATTAACTCCATTCAAACTACTATTATTTCTGCAATAGACCTAACTGATTGCCCCTCATCCATTGCTATTTTCTTCTAATTCATTCTCCTCACTAGAGTATCTTTTTAAAATTATAATTTTAGTAGCTTGGAACTACTAAATTTCTTTCTCTAAAACTAAAACTGTTTAACATGGCCTACAAGGCCTTGCATGATCTTACCCCTACCTCTCCAGTCTCATCTTGGATCACGTCTCCCATGTTTTCTCAGCTCCAGACCCACCAGCCTTCTCCCAGTCCCCATCCCTCTCCACACTCTGCCTCATTGCAGGACCTTTGCACGTGCTATTTCCTCTATCGGGAACCTGCTCCTTCCCTTCTTTACCTACTTACCTTTACCAACTGCACTTCTTTTTTTTTTTTTTTGAGACAGAGTCTTACTGTGTTGCCCGGGGTAGAGTGCAGTGGCGTCATCCTAGCTCACAGCAACCTCAAACTCCTGGGCTCAAGCGATCCTCCTGCCTCAGCCTCCAGAGTAGCTGGGACTACAGGCATGCATCACCAGGCCCGGCTAATTTTTTCTATATATTTTTAGTTGTTCAATTAATTTCTTTCTAATTTTTAGTAGAGACAGGGTCTCGCTCTTGCTCAGGCTGGTTTCGAACTCCTGAGCTCAAACAATCCGCCCGCCTCGGCCTCCCAGAGAGCTAGGATTACAGGCGTGAGCCACCGCGCCCGGCCAACTGCACTTCTTTTTATTCTCAGATTTCAAGATAATGATCTTTTCCCCATTAAGGCATTTCTTGATCCATTCACCAGGTTCAATCCTGCTGTAGTAGTAAGCTTTTGTTGCATTACATATCTTTCCTTCTTAGTTCTTATCACAGTTGCAATTTTATATTTATTTTCTCATTATTTGATTAATTATGTCCCCACTAAAATGAAAGTTCCCCAAGGATGGGGACCATGTCTATTTTTACTCATCATTGTGTTTCCAGTACCTTGCACAATCCCTGGCAGATATCTAGATGGTTAAGTGATTTAATAAAATTCCAAGAAGGAAACCATTCACTGGAGCCAGATTAAGTTGATAGCCACAGAGGAGAAAGGTCAGACAATGGGGACTGGGGACCTGGGGAAACATTGAAAACAAATAATTATGGATTAAAAGGGAACCAAAAACTGTCAGATACAGGACACCAAATAGAAAACAGCGCAGTGTCTGGCTTAAGAAACCAATCCACTCTGATGGGAGGTGCCCATGCAGAGTCCCAGGCAAAGAGGCAGATGTCTGGCACCCACCTGAGAGCAGCATCTAACAAGTGGTGTCCATACACACACACACACACACACCTGCCTAGTTGACCCTCAGGTACCTCAAATTCGATATGCACCAAAATAAGCCAACCATATTTACACACACCCTCAAAAAAGTGCTCTTTCTGCTGAATTCCCCATTTCAGTGAATGGTAACACTGTCCTCCCCTTAACCCAACCCAAAAACCTGGGAGACATCCTTTATTCCTTCATATTTCTCAAACCTCCCATCTTAACAATCACCAAGACCGAGCTGATCTAACTTCTAAATGTATCCTAGATCTACCCACTTCTCTCCATTTCTTCAGCCACCAATTTTGTTAAGACCATCACCATAGCTTACCTGGATTATCACAACTACCTCGTAACTGATTTTTCTGCCTTCACAACTATACTTCCCTTCCATCTATTCTTCACTCTACCATCAGAATCATCTTCTAAAATGTCAATCCTACACCATACCTCAGAAACTCCCTCTTGTCTTTAAGCTAAAACCCACACTCTCTAGCTTGATCTCAGCTGTCTTTCTCCTCTGGCTCCTGCCCACCCACCATTCCTCACCTCTCACTGCTCCACCTGGACCTGAGCCTGGTCATACAGTACTAGTTTCAGTTCTACAATGTCTGGGAATGGCCTTGAGGTTTTCTCACGCTTCCATGCCTTTGTATACATATCTCCCTTTGCCCAAAACACTGTTCCCACCTTAGTGTCTTCCTCCAGTCCCAGCTAACTCCTCCTCCCACTCCTCATGGCAAGCTAACTCCTACCCACACTCAGCGCAAGGGTCCCCTCTGCTGGTAGGCCTTCCATGCTGGTGGCTCCCACAAAACTTTACTCTTCCTTGTCTCATTATGTTGATCACACTCTCTATTTTCCTCCCTGGTCAGCCTCAAACACTAGTAGGTAAACACTTTGAAGGTAGATGTCTTGTCTTATTAATCATCATGTCTTTGTTCTCTGTTGATGGTATAGTAGCTGGCTATTCAAAAATTGTTTGACTAAGTAAATTAACAACCAGAGTGTGAACGATGATTTCTAATGACTTTTTTTTTATCTTATTTCAGTCCGGGTGCCTACCTGGTAGCTGCTTTCCTATTTATCCTGATGCTACTGTTCTTCACTCTTCTTGTTTTGAGCTACTTCCGGTATATGAATATTTATAGACGACATATTTATGAACCACTTCACAAACCTCCAAAACCAAAGAAAAGTTAGGAAAACTGAAAGTTTGATTATACGAATACATGTATATAGAGGGAGTGCGTATATATACTTATATTGAGAGTATGTATTTGACCAAGAAATACTAAATATAAGCTCATATATCACCAAATTCAAGATCTGAAAAATATTCTTAAATTATCCCAAAATAGAAATATTTTCATATATATTGTGTGTTATTAAACTAATCCTTAATATGTTTGCATTCATTTTAAAGGTACTCTATATACTCTTACATGGCATTAAAAAAAAAAACTAAATTTGGCTATTACAATCCCTCCTAAGAATGAAAATAAATTTTTGAAAATGTATAAAATGTGTCAAATATTATTATTTTGCACAGAACTTTTCATATGAAACTTTATATGGCTGTAGTTACGTACAAAGGAATTAATAAAAATGTGTGGATTTAAATAATTTTTCTTAAACAGATTTTGGAAGTTTTTCTAGTGGTAGAGTCACACATGAAATGTAAAACTTATATTAAAAATGAGTAGTTGATGTTCTAAATTTTAATTCTAAGTTTTAAAATTTGATTTCGAGGCTCAAAATAATCTCCTTAATTTGTCCAAATATTATCACAGCCTTCTAAATAATTAGTATTTGTATCAGAGTTCAACCAGAAAAGCAGAACCAGTGTGCGTGTATACATGCGTGTGTGTGTGTACATCCGTGTGTGTGCGTAAAGAGATTTACTGTAAAAGAATGGCTTTTTGGATTGCGGATACTGGCTAAACAAGTCTGAAATCCCCAGCACGGGCAATCCAGAATGGAAGATCACAAGCAGGACAGAATTCCACGGCCACAGACTAAAGCTGTTGTCCACAAAGCATTTCTTATTTTACTAAAATCAAGAACAAGACAGGGCTACCTGCAGTTCATCACTGTTTTGAAAGTTTTGACATCAAAAGAGAAAAATAGAATAACTAGTATACACATTGGGAAAAAAGGGATAAAATCCTTTCTTTTGATAATATTATATAACTAAAAAAACCCAAAATTCATAACAAGCTTTACCAGAGTAAGAGAATTTGATGTCTCAATACCACACAAATATTTAAAAATCAATACCTTTCTATAATAGTTATAATCAGTTAGCAATAGGAACAATAAAAAGTAATCTGTTCATTGTAGTGATGAATTATATAAATTTATTTATTTATTTACTTATTTTTGCCCTTCAAGGAGAACCTAGGGAAGAGTTATATAAATTTAATATGAAAAGTAATGATGTACATGAAGAAAGCATTAAAATATTTAATGAAGGAAGTGAAATAAGGTCTGAAACTTGATAGAGAGGAAGAAAGACAAACAACCCAATAGAAAATGAGCAAAGAATATAATCATTACACAGAAGAGCATATCCGAACAGCCAATAAACATATTTAAAACAACTATTTTTTTTAGCGTTTACTACCCGCCAGGAAATATTCTAATAACTAATCCTCCTCAACAACCCTATGAGATGGGAACTATCATCATCGCATTTATAGAGATGAGGAAACTTGCACATAGAGGGTAAATAATTTTTCTAAGGTCACAGTAACTGGTAAGTGATGAAGCTGGAGTTCAAACTCAGGTAGACTGGCTTCAGAATCCAGTGCTTATGTACTGAGGACTCTCAGCCTCACCAGCAGTGGGAAAGACACAAACCAATGTTACAATGAGCCTGCGTTTCTCCCCGATGGTAAAAATTCAAAATGTTAAGACTCTTGAGAAAGAATGGGGGTCAGGGATGAGAAGGAAGTTCTCTTGTATTTCTGAAGGAAATGTGAATTGTTATAGCTGTTTTGGAAAGCAATCTGGCAAAATCTATTAAAATTAAAAATACACATTCTTGGCCAGGTGCAGTGGCTCACACTCCTAATCCCAGCACTTTGGGAGGTCAAGGCAGGAGGATCGCTTGAAGCTAGGAGTTTGAGACCAGCCTGGGCAACATAATGAGACCTTGTCTCTATAATCAATCAAATACACATTCTCCTGGACCCAGAAATCCCACTGTTTCGAATCTATCCATAGAGTGGGATGGGGAAGGACCAATAATATATCAGGATATCTGTATGTGTGTGTGTGTGTGTGTGTGTGTGTGTGAGTGTGTGTATACAGATGGATGGATAGATAGATAGATAGACAGATGGCATCATTGGTTGCTATGCAAAATTCTAGAAAAAGAGGTAATGCCTGTGAATAGTGAATAGGTGAATGGTTGAATAAAAAATTGTACATTGACCACATAATCTATGCTAGTTGATTTAGAAGATTTTTCTGCATGGTTTTGTTAAATGAGAAAAGCAGGCTGCAGAGAAGTATCTCTAGTATGATCCTATTTTTACATAAACAAATGTTCTCTGTATGACAACATGGAGGAAAGTGTGGAAGTACACATACCATTTTGCTTACACTGTGTGTGCGAGCATGGGTGTGTGTCTACACAGCAGGAGGGGGAATGGGGCTGTATGAAGCAATGTAGAGATATAAACAAAGGCCTCAAAATCAGGGAAAGGGAAACAATAGAGAAGCAGCATGTAAAATTTTCTCTTTACATAAACCATATGTCTGTGTGTAAAGACAATTGAAAGCATATAGTCACCAGACTTAAAATGACGTGATTCTAGATGTTGTTTGCTTTCTTGCTATTGTTTCCCACCACACTGAACTTATAAGGTTTAATCATAAAAAATTAATTAATCATAAAAAAATCAAATTCTTATTACCGTGAACAAAAGAATGGGAAGTGAAGAAGCAGAGACAAGTATAAAAAACTATTTCAAGATGTTCCCGTTTTTCCTGTGACAGGGAGCAAAGAAATGGAGGGCACCCGGTGGCACGGGTGAGGTCAGGAAGATGTTACCGAGTGTGGGTGGCAGTAGTTCAGTAGCTAGGGGAAATTAATGACACGGGAAAGAAAGGGGGCACTGCCGGATCAAAATTCCTGAGTGGGCCAGAGAGGACGAGCTCCATGCTGAAACTAAGAATTAGCATTTCAGCCTCTGTCACAGGATGGATGCCAGAGTTCCTGGGTGCCGACGCAGGCAGGCTCTAGGAAGACCAGTGGTTTGTGGTAGTGAGAGATTGCTCCTCACAGACCTCCCACTGTAGGCATGTGACTGACCTAGGGCATCAGCAGCTGCCCCTGAAGTTCATCGCCACATTTGCACCAAGCCCATGCCCCCAACAGGCTGCTCCCCACCTGTGACCAGGTGCAGCGGGGACACTAAGGCAGACCCGATCAATGCTGGTAGACACGGGACTCCTCTGGGCCTGGCTCAAGGACTCCCGAAGGCTTTACCAAACCTTCCTTAGATTGCCTGGCAGTTTAGAACACCTCTACCCAATCTCAATCTAACTGCCCCCATCTGATGACTCTCCTAAATAGGGAGCTGTGGACAGCTCCCTATTTCCTTTCACAAAAGCACTTCCCCTAGTAAAATCCTTGTGCATTTAATCCCATATTAGTGACTATTAATCAGAGGACCTGGACTGACACAAATGGTAATACGAGTGGTCTGAGAAATCACGCAGTCACACAGTGATTTGGAACTGGCCCACCCAGCACCTGGCAGGCAGAAAGGAAGCCATCCTGAGGGCTATATGGGGCACCCATAGTCCCTGGCTCTAGGTAGTAGTTCACTTGCTAACGTTTTCGTTGGTAGTGACCTGGGAAAATGTTCTGGTGGACAGGAATGCTATGGTGCAGGCATTTGAAAAACACTGGGATAACCAAGACGGTGAAGTTGGCTGGTTACTGCTAAGTTACACTGAAGACCTGCAGAAGGCTAGTGAGAGACTGAGAGCCATCGCACTTAATGGCTGAGTAGAAGAAGCAGAGTATCTCAGTGGTAGCTTACAAAGAGGTCGTCATCACCAGTGGTGGAAGGGCAGACACAATTGAACAGTAGACTGAAGAGCCGGGAGTCATAGGGCTTCAGAAATGCCCTATGAGGAGGGAAGGGGAGGGTATGTAATGGCTCAGGGAGATGGGTGGGCTGGAAAGGATCTGCTATATGAGGCCAGAAAACCTAGCAGAGAATTATGTCCCATGAAAGGGTCCAGATGGCACGCCATTCTCCAAGGACACCCTGATGAGAGGGATACCAGCATCACCAAAACGTTCAGTGGTGGCCCTCCTCTGCAGGTTAGGGTGACAGTCACAGAGCTGGGTTCATTAACATCCCCGGGAAGGATGAGACCTCAAAGTGAGAAAGGCATGGTGGTGACACTTCACTTCCAGAAGCCAGGAGCCCACATTACCATAATGACAGGCAAGGAGCAGCTGAGGGGGCTCGACCTGCCGAGAGTTGTGGAGAAAAGTTAATAGAACATGGTGGTGTTAGCAGCGAAATTGTTGGGCAGCCAACAGGCTGTTTGTTAACATCTGTAATAATAATAATAATGAACAAGAATGGAAGAGGAGGCTGAAGACAATTGTCCCAATAAAAAGTCATAGTCCCTTGCTTACTCCCCAAACCTGAGTCAATTTTCAGATCCAGAACCCACTGACTGAAGAGATGGCCAGGTCCCTAAGAAGAAGGATCCTGCAACACTGTGGCAAGTATGTACTGTGACAATTCCCCCAGAGACCTATGGCCATTTAACTCAGGTGACTGTATTAGGGAAAAAGGAATAACTAGACATTTTCAGGATGATTACACATAGGTCTGAGTTGACATGGATACCCAGAGACCCAAAGTGTCATCAAGCTCCCCCCTACCCTTTAGAGTGAGGGCCTATGAGAGCCACAGAGGCTCCACCCATCAGGGGTCCTTTCCCCAGTCCCCAAGTGCATAATTGGGATTGATATATATGGCAGTAGGAATAAAGCCCACACTGGGTCCCTGCCTGGTCTGTGAAGTAGGAGATTCATCGTGGGGAAAGCCAAATGGAAACCTCTGAAACTGCCCCCTAAACACACCCCAACAAAGTGTGAAAATTGTTATTTTCCAGGGGGTGGGAGGGTAGCAGAGATTAGTGCCACCATTGAAGACCTAAAAGATGTGGGGTTGGTGGTCCTCGTTATGTCTTTGTTTAATCACCAGTCTAACTCCTGCAGAAAATCATGGATCCTGGAGAATGACTATCAACTCCCACAGATTTAACCAAGTAGTACCATCCACTGCAGCTGGTGTGCCAGATGTGGCATCACTGCTAGGGCAGATTAATCAGACCTTGGGTATATGGCATGCAGCTATAGACTTGGCAAATGTGTTCTTTTCCATCCAGTGAGAAAAGAGAATCAGAAACAGTTCACATTTACATGGACAACAATATTCAGTCATCTGCCTATCCTATGGAATTTCCATGTAGACATCTTCATTTAGATAACCAAAACAGTAAACCAAGTTCATGTCTGGTTGATCAAGCTGTCTGGGATGCGATGTTGTTGTAGGGCCCAGGTTATGTTGTAACCATTAAGAGTGGAACAGCTACTAGGGCAGCTGATTGCCCAAATTTCAATAAGTATGATCTCCATCTTGTCACTGATATGGAATAATTTTCCTAAATCAAGGGAAGCACAGAATTGACAAGTAAACCATGCTGAACCCTTACCACCTGGCCAGGGAAAGTTATATGCCTTGCCTGAATTAATCTCCCATTTCAGATATAGAGTAGCAGTGCCCTCCTGAGGAACTGCGGCGACTACTGTTATCAAAGACCTAGCCAATCACATTTCACTTCCATCTGAGCCGCCTGCTACAATTACCGATGGTTTAAAAAGTCACTTCATAACTAAAGACATCTAAGATAAAAAGCATCTGAATTATCCGCCTATGCTATCTTCTCAGGGAGCTGGCAATTCTGAAATGGAAAATGGGCTATTTCAAGATCTACTGGAGAATCCACATGCTCACCTTTCAACACTGGATTACATGTCCAACCGAAGTAGTCAGTGTAGTCAACCAATGACAACTGATCTAACAGAGGATGAGGTAGGGGGGGCAGGAGGGGAACTGAGGATGACTCCTCAAATATTTCTAATGATAGAGCACAGAGGAGACCAGCAGTATTCTGGAATACATAAGCCATTCTTCACTCTGCCTGCCACCACAGTGGAAGTGGACAGAGTTTTGCATAGCCACCTGTCATCGCCAGCTTTCAGAATGGGATCCAATGATCCCTGCCTCCTGGTATTCACACCTTTACATAGTATCCTCTCATACTGTTCCAGAGTTGGTCAGGAGACCAATAGAATACAGCAGAAGTAGCTCACTTCTGAGATCAGGTCATAAGACACTGTGGCTTTCTTCTTGGTCACTCTCCTACTCTGTTTTAAATCAATTGCTCTGGGAAAAGCGGCTACTATATCATGAGCAGCTCTACAGAGAGGCCCACGTGGTGATCAACCAAAGCTTCCTGCCATTAGTTACATGAGTGAACTTGGAAGCAGATCCGCCGGCCCTGGTCAAGCCATCAGATGACTGCAGCTCCACGAGAGACTCTGAGCCAGAAACACTCACCTAAACTGCTCTTGGATTCCTGGCCCTCAGAAACCATGAAATGTTTGTTTTAAGCTGCTTCGTTTGGGGGTAATTTTGGTATAAGACAATAAGACAGAGTTCATCTCTTTAACATAGGTAGCCATAAGCTTTAAAATTAATCTTCCTTTACAATGGCTTGGGCAGCTTATATCTCCCTCTAGGTTACCTACGAAATAATGTGACCGTGAGAGTTTTAATCAAAGCTACCATCTCTCAGTTTCAAACCACCTTTCTATGCTTTGCTTTGCATTGCGTGGGCCTCTGCTGAGGGGCACTGTAGGAACTGGAAGGCAGGAGGCGGAGGGAGGACGTCCTGGTTCCCGCCCTCCAGTCAGCATGAACGTAGTCAGGCTTCTTCACCCTGGCAGCAGCACTTGATTTCAGTAGCAGCAGTTGATTTCTAGCTTGGAGTTTCTAAAACTTTCCAGGACCAGCATCACTGTGCCCCTTCAGACACACCTGCAGTTTCCCTCTTCAGAGTTTTGAATTCCAGCTCAAGAGGGCTCTTCCCCAAACTTTAAAAATGTTTAAGTTCGAACTTCTTTTCTTTGTTCCCTCAGACCTAGAGGTGATAGCTGCTTCTCCTTCTCTGGTACTTTAGTGTTCCCTTTCTGTTTTTTCAGGCCTCCAATACTCAATTTTCAATTCTTTATATTAAATTATTTGTTAATCTGTCTCCTGAAAACCACCTCGAAGAAGTCTTCCTGTTATGTTCTACCACTACTTGTCTCCTTCAATTTAAATTACAAAATTATAAGTGAATATAAATTCACATTTTTTTCTGTCTTTCACTGGATCATAAGCTTTGTGAGGGTAGGAATCATGTCTGTTCTACCATGAATGAACTAGTGATACACAGCGGCTGACAGATAAAAGGTACTCATTTAGTACTTGTTCAATGAATGAATGATGGATGATTCATTGTTGATGGATCAATATCTGAATTAAATGAGCAATATGACTCCTTTCATCATCAGATGATGAACTCTCTTTTGTACCTGATAAATTCAAAGTGGCCACGGGACATTCCATGTGATAGGCAGAATACCACCAGCCCCACCAGAGATGTTCACATCTTAATCCCCAGAATCTACGAATGTTACCTTTCATAGAAAAAAATGACTTAGCAGATGTGATTAAGTTAAAAGATCTTGAGATGGGGAGAGTATCCTGGATTATCCAGGTGGGCCCAATCTAACCACAAGGATCTCTATAAGTGAGAGGGAGAAGCGGATGAGTCAGAAAAGATATGATGGGAACACTCCCCAAGGCAACTTGGAAGTGTGCCCCAGGCTGCAGTCCTCAACCTTGGCCCCCAAAAACTCTATATTTAAAAAAAAGGAAGAAAGAAGAAGAAAACAAGAGAGATAGAAAGAGAGGAAGGAAGGAAGGAGGAAAGAAGGAAATAAAGAAGGAGAAAGAAGAAGAGAAAGAAAAGAGAAGGGAAGGAAAGGAAAAGAAAGAAAAGATGAGATGATGGAAACAGAGATTGGAGTGATGTGGCCATTAGTCAAGGAATGAGGGCAGCCTCTAGAAGCTGGAAAAAGCAAGGAAGCAGATCCTCCCTGAGATCCTACAGAGGGGAACACAGTCCTTGATTTTAGACCCAGGACATTTTGGACTTCTGATCTCTAGAACCATAGGATAATAAATACGCGTTATTTTAAACCACTAAGTTTGTGGTAATCTGTTACAGCAGCCATAGGAAACTAATACATCCTGTATTAGCAGGGAAGTCCAGTAGGCTGGAGGTTATATCGGCCAGCACTCAGGGGAGAGAAGAACGTTGAAGATGAAGACATGGGACTCTTCAGCATACACACGACAGCTACAGCTGTGGGAGTGGATGAGATCACAAAGGGCAAAGAGAGTGTGTAGAGTAGGAGGTGAAGTGAACCAGCCGTTTGAGCCCTCAGAGTAGTGCAGCCAGGACTAAATGACGTGCAAATGGACAGTGCCTTTCCCTCACCTTTCATAGGAAAAGGACTTAGCAGGTGTTACTAAGTTAAGCAGTTGGTTCAGTTGGGTTAAGGTGGGGAGCAATGCCACAGCGGGAAAGGCTAGCAAAGCAGCTGATACACCAAAATTAATTTTAGGACTTTGTCCACAACCTTCCCAAGGACAGTCAAACAACAATGATGGACACAGCATTTACTTCCCCTCAACATCACCTGGCAATCAAACCATATTTTCCTAGTATATTTATTTTCCCTATTTTACATCTCTTCAAATTCCCTATACTCCTCTCCTCTCCTTTCACTCTGATGATAATCTTGCCTCGCAATTCATTGAGAAAATCAAAATAAATCAGAAAAGAACACCCTCATTTCCCACACCTTAATATTTCCAACTTGTCTACCTCTGTCTTCCTTGCCTTCAATGTTGTCACTGCACCCGCATCTGCCTCTCACAGGGATCCTTGTGATTAGATCGGGCCCACCATGCAAAAGCGCATACCACGTCCTCGGGCTGTGCTCATCTATGGATACTGTACTCTTTTCTCATTTCGGCAGGACAGTTTCACAAAATGTAAATTCCATATCAAGTAGGAACTAGATACATGATACACCTCGTCCCACAACAGTAACTCGCCTTCCTCTATTTCCCCACCTTCCCTTTGCAAACAAAAAAGAAAAGTTCGGAAAACTTAGGGTCATCACTTCGGTCTTTTGCCACATTTCGTTGGCTTCACCGAGCTCAATGCGACATAAACTATTTAACTGCAACACGACCAGCGATGAGAAGCTGAAGGTAAACTTAGCCGCCCGTCGAGGGTGGACAGCCAGAGGTCAGCCGGCAGATGCATAGCACTGCATGCTGGGAACTGTAGTCCCCCGCAGAGATCCGGTCTGGTAGGACTGGTGCCCCGCAGCATGCTGGGAGCTGTAGTCGAGTATAGTTGAGACTCCGCCTCTGCACGGCTAGTAAGCCTCACTGCATGTTGGGAACTGTAGTCTTTACAGGACACGCCCCCCCCCCCCCCCCGAGTGTGGAGGCGCCAAGACTGCAGCCATTTTAGGTCCCGAGGTGCGGCGGCCGAGAAGCAGAGCGCAGGCGGGCTCAGCCGGGAGCTGGGCCGGCCCCGCCCCCGGGGCGCCTGGCGCCCGCCCCTTACTCAGGCCCCGCCTTTCCCCACGTGTCTGCCGCCTAGAGGAGGCGCCTCAGCCGGAGCGGGCCCGCCACCGGTCCGACACCGTCCGCACGGAGTCTCCTGTCGGCGGCGCCCCGGAGCTGCCGGGCTGCCCGATGCTTCCGCCCCGGCTGCCGCGGGCCAGGCTGTACGCTGAGTGCCCGGCTCAGGCCCCCTGAAGCGCCCGCGGGGGTGAGAGCGGCCTGGGGCCCCGCGGAGACGGAGCGGCTGGAGAACGAGGCGGCGGCCGCGGGGAGGAGGATGGGGGCTAACCAGTTAGTGGTGCTCAACGTGTACGACATGGTGAGTGCGGCCCCTGGCGGTCCCGGCCCCGGCTCAGGCCGGCTTCCTCTCGCCGGCCGGGCTCGGACCCGGGCCCCAGGCGCTTCCTGCCTCGCGTCTCCGCCCCCAGCTTAGTTCTCTCCGGGAAGAGGGGGGCAAGGAGGGAGTATTATTATTTTTTAATTCTGTCTCTCGTCGATGCTTTTGATGTTGTTGCCTGCTCAGCCCGGGGGCTTTGGTCAAGGCTCGGGTGGGCTCGGACCTCTTCCATGTCCTCAGCTTGGCCCGGACCCTGGCTCTGGGCCCGACCTCTTGGCAGACTAGCAGTGTCCTTTCCGCAAAGCTTCGGTCGCGTTTCCGACGCCCTACCTCCCGGCCCCCGGCTGCCCCACTCCCCCGTCCCGATCGCCTGCGCTCCCGGCTCCTCTTCTGCCGAACCGTACATCTCTCTTCATGCCTAAGTCTTCAAAAACTCCTCCTTCAAAAGCCCCTCCAAGTCCAGAAAGTCACAGTTACCGACGCCTGTGCTAGAATTTCATCAAAGGTGAGCAGGAGCCAACACAGCCTTGCCTACAAAGGCAACCTCATTAAAATGAATGAGGCTAAAATTTAGCAAGAAAATAGCCCAACTGGTTAGAGATCAGGTGGTGCTCCTTTCCTAGATTCTGAAGACCACTTTCCAGGTGATGCAACAGGTGACGTGACCATAGGAGAGGCGACGGAAGAACTTGTTTGTTGTATCATCTAACTTTGGAGTGCTGTAAGCACACAGAATCAAGTTCAAGGACTGGTTTGCCTGATAATTGCAATTGAGATACACCCAGAGAAAGTATCCGGTAGAGGATTATGGTTGCAGTTAGATTTTCGTGCTTGGGTGTTTTTGCTTGCTTTTGGTTCTTCAGTTTTTGTTCTGTAGATTATCTCTGCCTGTGGTGGTTAAAATTCCTTGTAAGTTGACTGACAAATGAAAAATTCCCCATCGTTATTTTTGATGGCTTAAAGATGCAGAAGGACAGAAGTACTACAGGTCAGGAGTCTTAACAGTCCTAAACTTTTTATTCCCTTGTATTGTTTATAAGTTTCTAAATTTACGGTGTAATATCGTGAGTAGAAAGGGATTCCTCATGCCTTATTTGGGAATTTTGACAGGAGGGTATAAGGGACCACCTGAGATTTGAAGTGAGTTCTCTGTTGAATTCTGATGTGAGCCTGGAGTTAAAAGTAGATGGTTTAACATACTGAAAAAAGTGGAGCATCATGAAAGAGTTAGAAGAATAATCAGAACAAGAGATCGTAGAAAAGCATGGCACTTTGGAAGATCTTGGTCTATGTCAAGAAATAATTCTCTAGATTTAAATTTTTTGTGTCCAACTGTCCAACCTTTGTTTTTCAAGGCTTTTTATCACCTTTTTACTTTTTCTGTGTCCACCATCTGAATTTGGTTTCTTTATTTATTAATGTAGACTATTACAAACCATCTCAGGATATATACTGCTCTTGATTGAGAGCACAGTGTGTCTTTCCTTCTAGAATTAGATTATTAAACCCCTTTATAAATTAGGAGTATGCAATGGCTGGAGGCCCTGGGTTCAGAGCCTAAAAGAAATTTATGAGAGTAGAAGAAGAGAATTTTGCTGTGTAAAAGAAACTGAAAATGCATTGCTTTGGCATGTAGTGTGCTGCTTTACATTAGATATTCAGTGAATCAGGAAGATACATTGCTAATTGTGGTAAGTTGGGACAGGCTAGAGGTGATATTCAAACCAATATTTTTTAAGGGAGGAGTGTTCTGAACAATGTTAAAGTAATAACTAATTAACAAAGATTTTATTCTTCACATCACTTGTGTAAAGTAGGTAGTTACAAAGGAAGCAGGCAGAGAAAAGGGAAAGTGACCTGCCCAGACAACTAAAAGTAGGATCTAGAATTTCCAGACCACAATCTGATTGACTATCTTCTCTACTGAATAATAGCTGCATTTATTTCTTATATATTGTTTTTTCCTATCAGCAGGAGATAAAACATATGAATGGTTAGCAGAATGGTAAACAGTTGAATTATTAGACTTCCAATAAACTTGATCTCGTGGATTTTTTTGCCCCCCCCCCTTTCGGGTCCTTGATTCAAGACTGTATGTTCTTTTGAAGGCTTTGGTCTGTAAGTATATTACGTCACTAATTCAGCAACCTACCATTACTTATTTAATTTTGACCCTGTAGAAATCACAAGAATGAGTTAATTGTCCTTTCTTCTTTAAGGAATTTAGAATATCTTAAGGGAGATAAAACAGTAATAACAATTTAAGACAGAGTAGCATGATTTTTATAAGAGCAGAAAAGGGTGCAAAGAAGGAGATTATATGTGGTTATAGGATCAGGGAATACGGAAAGAGAAAAGGAACAAAACTTGAAGGATTGGTAGTATCCACAAGGGCAGAACAATCAGCATGATCAAAATGGCAGGAGTAGGAAAGCACAGATTGAATTTGGGAAATACCAACTCACCCAGTATTACTAGAGTGTAGGATACATGAAAGGAGACAAAACAGAAAGTTTGATAAGAACTTCATCAGTTAGGTTAGTATCAGGCTTGAGTGAAGGACCAGAGGGGACTCTGTGAGCAGGGGGAACCATTTAAGTTTTCATGGAGGGGTACAGTATGATCAGAGTTACGTTTTAGAATGAAGACCAGTGGGTTGAGGTACAGATTTTTGTCTGTTGTACTCATTTTTCTCAAGTCAGTTTTAGTTTTTGAAACGTTTTTGCTTGATGCCAAGGGTGCATTCCTTTTATCTTTGGTAATATTTCCTATTCATCATAGATGCCTTTGATGAGAATTGCTGTCATCTGTGCAGGCCTAGTACATCAGCTGGCTGGTTCAAACTTTGTAAACATGAAAGTCAGCCATGTTTGCCATAATAATCACTGTTAATAGGGACCTCTTGCCATGTGTCCTTGTGCCTCTTTGTCAGATTGTCATCTCTGACTGTATCTCTTCCTATTCACTAGGTTGGGCTGTTGCGGATCATTCCTTTCTTCCATACGTCTGTTACATATATGCAAATAATTGTACTGGGATCACCTGTATTAACTTCCTTCTCATGGAGGAATAGTATACTCTTCAAAAGGTTATTTAATCATGCATAGTGCTCCTAAATTGTTGCTTGCAGTCTTCTCAGTGATTATATTTCTCTTTGTACTTTGGGGTAATCTACCACCAATAAAACATGTCCTGGAGTTATTTTCTGAAGTCTTGGGAAAGAGGTTATTCAAATATTCCTAACTTACTAGCATACATAGCAAAGCACATGACTTAGATTAGTTTCTCATACTGGGACAGACCTCTGGTGTAGTTACTTTAGCAATCTTCATTTTTCATAGATCGAGATTTCGTGCTTTTCAGATTATCTTGGCTACCAATGAATTTTTATAAAATACAAATATGCAGGTGTTAATGTTTGTAAATTCATTCTATAAACAAATTTCTTCCAATTTTTAAATATCTGTACATCATCAGAGATTGGGCTTTTTGGGTTTCTGTTTGTTTTGTTTTTTGTAGAGACAGTGGTATTGTATTCCCCCCGCTGGTCTTGAACTCCTGGCCTCAAGAGGCCTCAAGGGATCCTCCCACCTTGGCCTCCCAAAGTGTTGGGGTTACAGGCATGAGCCACTGTGCCCAGCCCATCTTCAGAGTCTTAAAAGAATAGGAAAGAAACACTTTCTAGGACTCTTCAAATAAGAAGAGTCCGTCCTATCTCCATGAGACTCCTCCAAGAGAGTGTGAGATCACGCAGGTCTGATAAATACGACTTCTTGTACATCAGTAGGTCTAATTCAGACTTTTTAAACAAGGTCCAGACTCGCATATTGCTTCACCTAAAAATGATTCCGTAATATCTCTAAATCAACATGTCCAGGAACAAACTTCTTTCCTTCTCTTCTTTTCACACTTCACACCCTTCCCTCTCACCCCATTCCCCCCTAAAAAAAACCTTTGTTGAATTTTATCTTGATAACTAGCACTTTCTTCTCCTTAGTTTCCCAAACCAGAAACCTGGGAGTAAACCTAAATTTTTCTTTTTTTACAAACCCTTCAGTCAGTCACCAGGCCCTATCTTCTTTGTTTTAGTTTGGTTGATTCTGTCTGAAAGTAATAGCTTGACAATCAGTGGCTTAAACCGGAAGGATACTTGTCTTAAGAGATAAACAGGTCCTGAATTAATTCAGCAGTTTAGCCATGTCACCAAGAATGAAGACTTTCTATCCTTCTACTCTGTCATCTCACCATGTTGGCTTTTCCCCTTGGTTTGTCCCCTCAGAGTTGTTAAATGACTGCCCTGGCACCAAACATGGTATCCTTATTCAGCATGATGTGAAGGAAGATAGAAGAGAATGGGGCCTTTCTCTACATGCACCTCTCTCCTTTTAACAGAAAGGAAAAGTTTCGCTGGAGCCGTGCTCCTTCCCCGAGAGATTATCCAGAACTGGCTCCTGTGTAACTGTGATGAAGCTAAGTAAGTGGATACCTGGCTTTTCTAGCCGTTATGGTGAGTTGTGGGTAAGGAAGGCAGGGAGTACTTTATGAATATTCTTTAAATGGGTTCCTTTATCCCCATTTCAACTAATGCTTCTCAAGTTCAGGACCTCATTATCTCCATTTAAAATTATATTAGCCTTACTAGTTTCAATCTCTGCTATTACTTCATTTTAATCCACCTTCCATTCTGTTACCAAAGTAACTTTTCTGAAACCTAAGCGATTGTGTCATTCCTCTGCTTAAAATTCACCTGCCGGATAAAGTGTAATGCCCTCTATGACGTGACCCCTCCTTGACAGTTAAAGGCCCATCTCCCACTCCTGCATACACAGTTTGTTTTCACAGTGAAACTTTTTAGTTGTCCAAATAGGCTGTACTAGCTCGTGTCCTGGTATCTTTACAATGCTGGTCCTCCTGTCTGGAATGTGCTAGTCCGACGTTGCTCAGCTGCAGCCTCCTGCTCCTTCCAACCTTCAGTCATCAGG